GGGCGAGGCCAGCTACGGTGACGCCGTCGCCGTCGCCCTCCTCAAGTGGGGCGTCAGCGAGCTGAAGGATCAGAGCGAGATGGAGACCTTCTGCGCTCGCCTGCCCCGCCCATCTGGTGGGGGCGACGGGGCGGGCTGTCAGGGCGCCACCGGCGGCGGCCGCGGCCGCGACGGCGGCGGCGGTCGGGGCGGGCGGGGCGGCATGGCAGGCCCCGCAGCCCCGAGCAATGATTGAGCAGGATGACGGACCGTGGACAGGCCCTCCACGCCGCGGCCCGCTGAAGGTGGGAGATTTTCGGGCGCCTGGTCGCCCCCGTCTTTTTGAGCAGTTCCCGCTGGCCGTACCTCGGCGGGAACGCGCTCCTGGCGCTGGCGGTCGACGCGCTGCGCGCTATTGCGCGTTCGGGGCCACGTCCGACAACTGGTGGAAGGGGCGTCTAATGCACTTAATTGGCTTGCGAAGACAGATGATCACCGCCCGCCTGGGGTTCGAGGTCGCCCAGGCCACGCCAGCGCATCGGCAGGCGGTCGTGAGGCCGCTCCCCGACTTGACGAGAGCCTGGCTTACCTCGAAGCTCTGGCGGAGCTTCAAGCACGTGACAGGGGTCGCGACTCTTACACGCCGCCAGAAGCGGCCCTTCGGGAGCTGCTCTGTGACAAGGCATCTGGCTACAGGATGGATGCCACATCGACTACACTCGCGCCTTACCAGCGTGGTCGGGTCTCCCTGCCCGAGAAGCGCGCCGCCGCGCCGCTCTCTCGGATTTGGCGGGCGACCGTGGACGATCTTACCTGGCGGGCGCAGGGGGGCGCATGCTGGACCCGACCGCTGGTGACTTGAGTGATGATGCTGGCGAGCGGTGCTACGTCGACCCCCAGCTCGCCAACAATCCCACGCTCTACGCCCGCTTCATTCGCGACCTCAAGGCCAGGGACATGCTGGTCTTCGGCCGCTGGGCCTATGAGCGAACAGGTCTTTTCTTAGCACGCAAGAAGTCGGGGAAGCTTCGCCTCATACTGGACGCACGGCGGACCAATCGGAGGTTCTCTCCGGCGCCGCACGTCGACCTTTTGACGGCCGAGGGTTTGGGCCGAATTGAGGTGGAGCCCCCTGACGGACGCGACTATTCATCCTTGTATTGCGGCACCGCAGACGTTCAAGACGCCTTCCACAGGATGGGCATCCCTCCATGGTTGTCGAGATGGTTCGGCATGCCTCAAGTTCGTGCAGGCGACGTGGGCATCGCGCAGACCCTGGATGGCGGCGTGGGCCCCGACGATCTGATCACGCCTATGCCTCGACGCCTGCCCATGGGTTTCTCGTGGAGCTTGTTTCTGGCGCAGGACATCGAGGAGGAGGTCCCCAGCAAGGTTTTGGGCCGCGCCGAGCTCCTTCAGGACCGAGGCCGCCCGCTGGTGCTCACGCTGCGCGGCAAGCTTGCCACGAGCACGAGGCACTACACCTACGTGGACAACATCGGCGTCTTCAGCTCCGACGGAAGGATCGTGGCCTCTAGGCTCGAGGACGTCTGCGCGGCCTTCGAGGCGAGGGGCCTCGCCGCGCATGAGGCACCCACCTCCGACTCGGGCGCGGAGGCCCTGGGCGTTCTATTGGACGGTCGGCGGCGACACACCAGGTTGACATCCAAGCGGTTTTGGCGAGCGCGGGGCGCCCTGCTCGCCCTCGCTGCTCGTCGCCGCGCCGCAGGCCGCCAGGTGGAGGCCGTGATGGGCCACGCCGCCTTCTGCGGCCTGGTTCGGCGCGAGACGCCCGCGGCGTTCTCCACCGTGTGCCCGTTCATCAGGAGGCACTACGACGAGCCCGTCACGCTCTGGGCCTCCGTGCAGGACGAGCTTCGCGTGTTCGCTGGCCTCATGGTTATGCTGGTCCCCAGTTGGGAGTCCGACTGGGGCCCGCTCGTGTTGGCCACCGACGCCTCGGAGTGGGGTTGCGGCATCTGCTCGCGCTGGTTCGACCCCGTGGACGTTGCCACGGTGGGCCGCTGCAGGGAACGAGACCGCTACCTCTCCGAGGACCACGTGGCTGCTAGGGCGGCCGCCCTTGGCGGGGAGGCTGCCTCGCCCTCGCCCGAGAGCATCGGCGTGGAGGGCTGCCAGGGCCGTGACGACCTACTCCCCGACCCTGGCTTCTCGGAGGTGCCCACCTTCATGACCGAGCAGGCCGCCTGGACTACCGTTGGCGGGTGGAGGTACAATCAGGTTGAGGATATCATGGTGCTCGAGGCGCGCGCCCTCCTTCTTGGATTGGAGCGAGTGGGCCGCGCGCGCTTTGGACGCAACGTTCGACAGGTCCTCTTTGCTGACAACCTCGGCCTCGTGCTTTCTGTCGGCAGGTGGCGCTGCCGTAATTTCAAGCTTTTGGCCATCCTGAGGAGGATGGCCGCCTGGTGCCTCAGCCGCAACATTCACTTGTCCGCGCGGTGGATCCCGTCGGAAGAGAAACCCGCCGACGGCCCTTCTCGTCTCTACCAGCCTTCCGCTCGGCATGCTGTTTGTAAGGAGGGCGATGTTGCCCGACCCCCTCGCTTAAAGCACGCCCCCCATTGGTTTGAATAAGACCCTTGGAAATGCGGGAGAACCTGGGGACCAGCCCAAACCCGAAGATATGTTGACGTCTCGGTGCCTGTGCAGTCCCTTTCCGCTCGGTGCTGGCTCCCGTTCTGATCATGCCCCCCTACTGGACAAAAGGAATACGGGACCAGCTGCGCCTCGCCGAGCCTCCGTAGGCACTTTGGCTTCACCCACTTCTTATGCTTCCGAACCCCTCTACGTTGCTGTCCCGCGCTCGTATCTTCCGAGCTGTCCGCGCAAGGGCGATGCCAGCGAACCGTGCCACTCGCGGGCGCCATTTGAGCAGCAGCGCAGCCCTATCTGCATCATGGCCTCACACTTCCCGCGCCCCTACGTCGGCGTATCGGCGAAACCTGGAGGGGCTGAAGGGCCGTGCGAGCTTGGCGCATTTCTCGGACAGCGGGGTGGTCGCGCCGTGGGCGGATCTTCGGGGCGCGCTCGACTACGACCCGAGGTTTGCGAGCGCCTCGAGCTCGGAGGCAAAGTCGGAGGCGCCCGTTAGGCCGCCCACCAGGCGTCGATGGATCGCCCCTCGAACGCGGCGGGGGGCCTTGACGAAGTTGCTGGAGTCGCCCTCCACCCCCGAGCGGTCTCACCTGACGCTCGTGGGGCCCGCGGCGGCGAGGCCGCGCGCCGAGTCGCAGTGCGCCCAAGAGGTTCACCAGTTCAGACGCTACACGGGCGTAGCCAACGTCATCGATGTCCCGCTGGGCGCCCTCGAGGGCCTGCCGGTGGAATTCATGGCCCGCCAGACCCGTCGGAGCGACTCGGCTGCCGGGGGCGTGGAGCTGATGGCCGTGCGGCCCGAGTATCTCCTCTCCCCCAGCCGCGTCGCCACCTACTGGACCGCCCACCTGAGCCCAGAGGGCAAGCATGTCCCATCGGTGGCCAAGGGTGTCGACGTAACGATCGAGTTGGACCTCGGCTGGCGGGGGGGACCTCGCATCGGTGCTGGGCGTCCCACAGTCGCGGCCCAAGGGAGAGAGCGTCTGGGACTTTCCCCTGCCCCCAGCTGGCCGCTACCGCGCAGAAGGGATCTCGGGACCTGGGGTTCAACCTTGCGGTCTGCCAGCCCCGCCTCAGCGAGACCAGCTCGGACAGGTCCCCACGCATTCGATCCTCGGCCGAGGTCAGGGAGCACGAGGGCGTAAAGTCCGACAAGCGAGTGGTTCGCTACGAGAAAGGCGCTCGGCCCCGCTCGACTATGATGGTTCACCCGTGTTGGCCCCGCACCCACGCCGTGCTCTGCGAGGAGAGATTCGTGGAGATCTCGGCGCACGGCCTGGTGCTGCCAAAGCTCGCTTCTCATTCCCCGTGAACGAGAGGAGGCTGTTTGTGCTGGTCATCGGTAGTCTCTTCATGCAGCCGAGCGAAATAGTCAAATCGGGCTTCTTAGTTAGATACATACCAGATCAACATTTGGGTGACGCCGTGTCTTTCCGACTAAGGTCTGGCCTCCGTGTTGGCAAGATTTGGGCAATCGTTGTCTCTCTCACTGCCGAGCTGCTGACGACAGGATTGGTTCGGCTCATCTCGGACGCATACAGATGGGAAGTTCCTTCAGTGATTAGTTGCTTCTCTTCGGTGAGTGATGCAGTTTCCTGCCGCTTCCCCGCTCTCGACCTCGATTGCCTCGTTTCACACATGTGTCGGTGCAGGGATTGTGCTCGGCTCCGTGTTTCTACTTTTATCATGCATGTGATGTCTGACGACACCACCCGCCTTGGCTTAAAGTGCCCAGGCGCTCGGGCCCGATATGGCCACAAGGAACACGGTGCCGTGCCTCGCGCCTCGGAGCTGGTCCCCAAACGTTTTCAGTTTGCCTTGGGCTTCACTGTTTTATCGGCCCTTCGAGCCCGTTACCTGACGGTGTGAGAACAGCTTCTGGTTTGGGAATCTGAATCGGGTGTGACTTTGATGGGGCGGGGCGGAGCCCTCGCCTCTTTCTGTCTCGGATCCGAGTCGCTTTGACCAGCGAGTATAGTAGAGAGAATCGTTCCCCGCTAAGAAACAAGGGTCAGTCATGGGGGTGCGTTCACATTAATGACTTAGCGAGGTTTGGGTTGTCGGTCTCATCGATCCTCATCGTGTCACTCAGTAGTCATCCTGGCTCCCCTCCCTTCTTGAGCCACTTTGGGCTCACCCGTCCCTTTCCTTCCAGGGTGTGACTTTGATGAGGCGGGGCGGAGCCCTCGCCTCTTTCTGTCTCGGATCCGAGTCGCTTTGACCAGCGAGTATAGTAGAGAGAATCGTTCCCCGCTAAGAAACAAGGGTCAGTCATCTTCCTTCATCTCCTCCCGTCCTCTCCCTCGTTGCCCTCCCCCCCCGTCTCTGCGTCCTTTTCCTCCTCCCCCCCCTCTCCTTCGGCGCGCTGGCGCAGACGCCACGAGGAAGGCCTGGAAGGGGAGGTCGCTGTTGCGAGGGCGGGGCCAACCACGCTGCTTCTGTTTCCAGTGACCCCGTCGCGCGCGCGGGAGGAAAGGGAGCCTCTCGGTCGTGGGGGGGGGGGGGGGCGAGTGCCGGAAAGGCGCCCGAGCATGGCGGGGATCGGCGGGTGGTCAGCCACGTGACAGGTGTTCAGAGCCCCGAATCATCAGGGGTAACTCAGCTCAGGGATAATTCGGGTTCCTTTTTCGGGAATCCAAACCCGAGTTACCCCGGACCCGAGTTACCCCGGATAGTTCGGGCGTCCAAGAGCCCCGAATCATCAGGGGTAACTCGGGTCAGGGATAACTCGGGTTCCTTTTTCGGGAATCCAAACCCGACTTACCCCGGACCCGAGTTACCCCGGATAACTCGGGCGCCCAAGGTGTGGAGCATCATTGTCCACATTTATTTACCCAGAGAAGCAGCAACAGCAACAACAACAGCAGCGTGAGCGCAGGAGCACAGACCGCCGGGTTTGTTGCGATTCCTCGTGATCGTCTTTCTCATGTTGTCAAATCTAGTTTCTCTTGCATGTCAGTTTCCTGTCATGTTTTTCTGTTGCACCGTGTTCCTCTTGCTTTTCCTCACCGCTTCATCGCGATGGCGGACAAAAGCTGTTGAGGCTGAGGCACACGCACCCCTCACAGACCACGACGTCGTTTCGCAGGCTGCCCGCGAGAGCCGAAGGTCTTCGGAGGCCACCTGGAGGCCTCTTGAAAAACCTTCCTCGATCCTCCTCTTGCCCCCCATCCCCCCTCTTGTCCCCCACCCCATTTATCGTCCTCCTTCTTCCTTGTTCTTCGATCCTCCGTGATCTTCAAAGGGGGCGACGCTCGCGATGATAAACGTGCACCTGGACTGTAGCGTGGGGCTCGACGGTCCAACACATGTTCCTAATGTGATGCAGCTGACGAGGGTGGTGAAGTCCTTGGGGGTATCGTGCGACTGAAGGCGTTCAGGGGCGACCTCCTCATAACTCGGATTTGTTGTCAAGACCCCCCCCGGGGTTATCGCTAGCACCGCTTAGAAAACAATCCCGAGGCCCCAGTGTAGCAGGGCGATAGCTTTAGCATTGAAAAACAAGGGGGAGGGACATGTGGGACGAAAAAAGAGATGCGTTGAGAAGGGTTGGGGGAACACATAGAAAAAGAGCGCCTGAGTGCGAGCGTGTCTGAACGTGGGTGTGAGCGCATGTGAAAGCGAGTGTCTGAGTGCGTGCGAGTGTGTCTGCGTGCGTCTGAATGCGAGCGAGTGCGAGCGCGTCTGATTTTAAATATGGTAGGGTGCCTGAGTGGGGCCTGAATGTGAGCGCGAGTATGCATGAGTGCGAATGTGTCTCAGAGGGGCAAGTCTGGGCTGAGTGTGTCTGAGTGTGGTTGACTCGGACCAAGGCTAAATCTGAGTAGAAGGTGGAGGAGAGAGAGAGAGAGAGAGATAGAGAGAGACGTCGCGATACTGGTGACGAGGATGGTTGGCTTTTCACCGAGAGCTGAAAGCTAAGTGCTGACCTCTTGCGAAAGTTGAGCCCTCCTCTATGCTCCTAACTCGCACTGGGGCGGCGAGATCTCTCGAGGCTGGGCTGGGTGCACTGGGCCTGCTGCGCTGAGAGTTGACCTGAGGAGCCAGAAGTAGACTAAGCCTTCCAGCTCCCTCCGAGGTGCGGCTGCGCACCGCGGTGCAGACCTGCGCTGAAAAAACCTGCGCTGAGAACTGGCCGTCGAAAAAAAAACATAGAAGTGGCCGAGCGCTGGAACTGAGCATTGTCCTCCATTGAGAAAGATCCTTGAGCTCGGTAGTTTGTTCTATAGAAAACACTGCTCCCCCGGAGGCCCCGCGCAGACAGCCCCGCGGGGCCCGAGTGGCCCTGGCGACCCTTGCGGCCCTGAGGTCAGGCTCACTTCGCGCCCTGAGGGCGACGAAGTCGACCTGCTGCTCGACTGGGGACTGCGCGGCCACGGCTGAGACCTGCGCGGTCTGATCGCACCCGCCGCGGAGGCCGTGGAGCTCCTGGCGCCATTGCGTTGCCAGCAGTTGCCCGATGGCGCGGATCATCGGCGCGTCCGCGCTTGACTCTTGGATCGTGAAGTTGATGATGGCAGAGAGTTGGCGCTTCAACCCTGACATGTCTTATGACGCGTTTGACGTAACTCATCCCTGCTAAGTCAGTGCTGCAGCGAGTGTGGGGCCATGCGGCCAAGCACAGCCAATGCGCTCGTTTCGCTGGCAGCCTGTGCCCCGACCCTCCGAGGCCCCCCGAGGGGGCGAATTGGTTGGCGACCACGCCCGGGGAGGGGCTGAGGAGGCAGGGGCGCGCATGCAGACTCATGGTCAAGCCCTGGGCGTTGCGGGCGCCGCGGCGACGCTGGCCCAGCGACGCCTGGCCGCGGCGACCGCGGCGTTCGCGGCCCAGGACCGCGAGCGCTGCGCGAGGGCTCCTCGGCGGGGGGCGGGGCCGCGCCCATGCGCGCTGTCGAGCTCGAGCGCGAGCGCCGCCGCAACTTGGGGCGTTTGACCGACGGGTCGCGGGCGCGCCGCGCGCGCCGTCTTGCCCCCCCCCCCCCCCCCCCCAGGGCTGACTCGTTCAAGCGCGAATAGATCTGCTGCAAGGGCGACCCCGCCCTCAGAGCCCTCGGCGAGAATGATGCTACTGCGTTGGCCCCCCCCGCGCTGCCACCGCAGAGTTGCGGGCGGCGAGCAAGGGCGCGCCCCTGGACCCCCGGCGCGGCCGTGCGTAATGAGCTTGTCTTGTGCTGGAAGTGCGCGCGCGTGCACCCGCGCGCGCGTTTCGGTGGCGCTGCAAACGGGGGGCGCGTACGTTTGCTAGCTGGTGCGCGCCGAGATCGCGCGACCGACCCGGGGAAGCACTAGGGCGTGCCAGGGATTGCCCTTTCCCGGGTGACTAGTGGCCCATTTTTCCCAGATGGAGCGGGGGCGGGGCGGGGGGTGGCGCGCTTCCAAGCAGAGGCAGGCCCCGGCGTGATCAATCGGCGCTACCCCAACGCACTTACATCACGCGCGCGTCGCCCCGCCGAGAAATCCCGCGGCGCGCGCATCGTGGCGGGCTTTTTTTTTGGCGCGCGCCGCTCGGGAGACGACGCGCTACAAGATGGGCGCGCTTTACGCCGGGGTCGGGCGCGCGCCCCCGGGGGGAACGCGTCGCACTAGCGCGTCAGCGCGCGCCCCAATCAAACCCGTTCTGAAACCCAAGGCTCGGAGATAGATCTCCGTCGCGAGCCGCCCCCCGAGAGGGATGTAAGAGTCCAGCTGCGGCTTCGCTGCTAGCTCGGATCCTTCGGCGTTATCCCAGCATTTCTCTTGATCCTCAGTGGTGTGTGTCCGTCTCCCCCCAGTCCCCCATCCGTCTCCTCCCCCTTTTCTCGACCTCCCTCCATTCGTGATCCTCGGTCCTCCTTGATCCTCTTCCTACTCCTCATCCCCGTCGCCCCCCCCCCCCCCCTTCTGCCCCCCCCCCCCCCCCCCCCCCCCAGCCCGCGTCAATGTTGGCCCAGGCCAGCTCGGCGCAAGTCATTTTGGTTCATGTAAAACATATATCGAGCAGCTGGGCAGGTCAGCCGCCCACCCCAGCGCCCAGGCGGGCGGCGCGGCTTCGGGCGCCGCGCCCAGCCGCGAGGATCCAGGCCGCCAGTCATTCCATTCATCGCCGCCTTCCCCTGTCTGGCCGCAGCGGCAAACGGCCAGACGCTCTCGCAATGTCCAAGCGGTGGAATCGGGAGCAGCGCTGCACCGTGCGCGGCGCAGCTGGTTGCAGGGGATGGACCTGGAGCGGCCGCGCTGCAAACGAACCTTGCGTCAGTTGTGGAGGGGAATTCGAGCGGGCCAGTCAGCGTCGCGAAGCCGTGCCTGAACCTGATCGCGGCCGCCAGCCCCCGACTGCCAATCGTCACAATCGATGGGGCAGGCGCGCAGGAGACGGCCAGCAAGCGCCATAAATGGGCAAAGTTCAGACATGCTCGACAACGCTTGCCTTCTGGAAGAAGGCGGCCGGGGCCCTTGGGGGGGGGCGCTCGCGGGCCCAGGGGGGGCCCGAGCACGCGGAGACCCGCGCCCTCAATCGCGCGAGCCTCGGCGCCAAGACCTAGAGCTTGGCGGGCCAACTCCAGCGCCAGAGGCGCCAACTGCAGTCCAAGAAGGGTGAAGCCGATAAGAACCTAATCATCGCCCTCGAGAAGGCCGATGACCTGCGCGCCAAGTCTACTCAGAGCTACGTCGAGTCGCAGAAGTCTTGCAGTTCGAGGCCCAACATTCCGCATCTGCTCTGGCCGCGGCAGTGGGGGCCGCAGCTTGGTTCGAACAGGCCCCAGCTTCCTCGCCCCAGTCTGTGGGCGGCAACTTCGGCAAGGGCGCGCCTGAGAGGCTCGGGGGGGGGGCTCGAAAGCGCCGGCGCCAAGATGCGCCGGCGCTGGGAGGAAGAGAAGAAGAGCCGGGCATCGTCCGCCGACTCCAGCCCCGGGCAGCAGCAATAACTAGCAGCCAGCAATGCCCGATGGACCCAGCAGCGCCGCCCAGGACACGCCAGTCCCTGAGGGTGCTCCTCAGGGCGCGCAGGTCGATTTCAGGGGCGGCTGCAAGAGGAAGGAGTCCGAGCTGCTGGTCGCGGCCGCCGCCCACGCAGTCGAGGGTCGAGGGCCGCTCCGATGCGGCCGCGCAGGCGCAGGCCATCCTGGCCACGCGCGCAGCAGTCTCGGCCTCCAGGGCTGCTGGGGGCCACAGAGGGCTGACGAGGGTAGCACTTTGAGCGGCTGCACGCTTGCCGGCAGCAGTTTCACTGGCGCGCGCAAGTTTCTCGATTCTGAAGTTGCCAATGGGGTGCTCGTTATCTGTTGCCAGGCAGCACGTATTCTACCTAAACAGTTGGATAACGAAAAACAGTGGCGCGCTAACAGGGGACGGTTAGCAGTCTTGTCGTCAGCGATGCTTAGTCGAGAAGAGTTTGCCTGCCAGGGTATTGGAATCCTAGTTCAGGCGGGCCTCGACCTTGGCATCTCTCCTCTAGAGGTGCCCGACG